AATTCCCAGTTACCTCGGACAACGACCATAACGTCATCGACTCGCTTCCCAGAGCTGGAAAGCATAGTCACTAGTTAATGGTCAGTGCCCTTGGTCCTAAGGAAATAACAATCGTGCCGACCGGAAGACTTGGCCAAGGCATAACAATGCCATATGTTGGGAATGCCGAGGCTGATCCTAAGGCGACGGTTTAGCTCTACAATTCCCATTATGATTCTAAAGAAGTTGACATTGGGTTGGGAAGGAATTAGACCCCAATGGCAGAGCACAACCCTAAGGAGTGGGTGAAGGGGAAATTAGACACCACCCTCTGTGATTGATAGGAGAGGGAAAATGATCGTGGTTTCATCAGCCCTCTCCATATCGAGGGTGCCGTCTTTCACGAGAGACAGACGGACGTCATCAGGAATGGAAAAATGGCATCGGAAGCCAGAAATTTGATCCGAAGAGAGGAGATCTTTCAAATGTTTTTCCATTTTCTTCAGTTTAAGGGTATATTCTAAACCAAAAACAAAATAGGAAAAAGGGATTTAGAGTAGAGAGGGAGAAAACTTACAAGAGACGAAGAGGATAGTGAAGGAAACGAAGTTGCAGAGATAATTCGGAATGAAATCCAGAGACAAATATCTGAAAGTGTGTATGTATTTGAAAGGACGTCCAAATTTTAAATCATAATAAATAGAAGTGTACGAAGGGGCGAGAAGTTGAAATGATGACCGAGAAGCGTGTGCTCAAACATCTGCATTGGAATGAGGTCAGCCGCTGAATTTCGGCCTTGACTTTTCGAGTTTGAAACCAAACACTCTAACCAACCGTCATTAGTGGAATGTTTGGGGGGCAATTGTGGGGGCCGAGTAATGGGGGTCGTAAATAGGCCGAATATATGAACTGGGGAAACTGGGATGTATGTATAGTATTCGGCTTCTTCCCACATCCAAATCCTACCCTATTCAGTCAAATAGCCGAATAAGGCAAGGGCCGAGTAAAAAGCAGTCTGCTATAAAGGAAGCCGAATGACGAATAGAAAGTGGGCCTAATCCCGAGGCCCAAGAGAGAAAGGATATAAATAGAAGAATATCAGCTAGTAAAAGGTATGTGAGAACTATTGTGCTTCACTTAGAATATAAGTAATCTTGAGTGTAGAGATTGACTTACCTGCCGGAGTGCTAATTCCGGCACCCCCGACCGGAGTGTTTATTCCTTTTCAGGTGACCAGAAGAGGATCAATAGCGTCCCCCAAGATCAGAAGAGTATTTCCAAACCACTTCCCCTCATAAGATTATGGAAATCTTATTATTCCAAGTAGATAGAGTAGATTTAAAATTTTTGTTCCTTAAATAAAATTTCATATTGTGGTTGGATAATGGGTACAGTTTTTTTGAGCTTATTGTGGTTGGATAATGGGTGCAATTTTTTTTCTTAAGTTCAAAATAAGTAATGAGAAAGAGGAGTTAATAGTATTCCTCCCTAACTTCTACATATTTAGTATTTTAATGTTTTCAAGTTATTTAAGTCATATCTATATCATAAGTAGGTCCAATAAACTACAACAAATGGGGTCAATGCCATAGAAATTTTTTATTTGTTTTTATTATTATGGCATATGAGTAAAAGACTAAAAGATCTAAACATTAAGAATAAATTTACAGGTGGATCCCAAAAAAGATGCATATTATAAAAAAGTTATAAATTTTTATAGTAAAATTATGATTATTTATAGTATATTATGTCACTTTGTGATAAAGTTATAAATATTAAATTTATGGTGTGCATCCTAAAATTGTGAATAGAAAAATATGACATTTTTTGGTTTAAATTATAAAATTTTGTGAAAAAATTAAGAAAATATATACATCTTTTTAGAGGTGCACATAGTAACCGCTCCCAAACATTAGATGTTTTCTTAAAATTTTAAAACATGTAAAGTTTAACTAAGATTTTAGATAGAGTTGTAAATGAATGATTTTTTTTATTTTTATTTTTAATTGACTGATAAAACCTTAAATTTTTGAGTTCTCCCTTTTTGTTTCTTTTTCTGTTTTAATTAAGTTGAGGCTAATAGTTTTCACTCATAAATCTTGAATGTTTAAAAATCTTACCAATACGATTTTGTTTAACACAAAAATTGAATATGTTCCAACAAATGTTTTATACTATTTTTAAAAATACAAAAATTTAAAATTATGTATTTTTAAGTTTTCCAAACTTTTATTATTAAAACCTAATTTTTTTAGTAATATAGAAGCGTGCAAATTTCCTTACCTCTTTAGAATAACATATACGTATATTATTTAGACATATTTTAGGAAGTCAAAATTTTAGCTAAATCAATAAGTCAGTATAAAAAAGGAGAAATTACTCATAAATCTCATATTGAGAAATGTTATTCTATCCAGTCCCGAATGTTTTTTTATAAACCATTTAGTCCTTTTTATTTTGGTATGGTATCTTTGTTTGTTATATTGTATCTTCCAATTACTGATTTGCCCATATTGTGATTTTATTTTTGGTTTTGTCCTGCTGTTGGGTACGGTATGTTGTAACATTTCTTTTTTGTAGGTGGTGTTTAGTGGACTATGTGAGTAGATTTTGATGTTAACCAATTAGTGTTTACTTTCTTACGTTGGCTTTGCTTCTCTTCCATTACTTTTGTAGGTTGGGTGTAGTGTTGGTCAAAACAGAAAATTAATAACAAACAACAGATTTTCAATGTCCAACCCATGAATTATTAACTACAATTACCACATCACTAACATCAAGCGTCCCGCACTCACATTAACAAACAAACAACAAGCCCACCATAAAACAACAACAAAAACATAAGCACACTCTCCCATATGGTTTACTCAACATAAGACACCAACCTACATCACCACAAAACCACGACATAGTAATGGTAATAGCAAGAATAACAAGTACACATAACTTCATCCCGTATTTGCCATTGACACACCCCAACAAACATTACATAATTCAACATCACCACATCGTACAACGCAATCAACACTACTAAAACATATACATTTCAACCTAATCTACATCGCACCAAAACTGAGGCCTACATTACAAATCCAAAAAATACATACCTGGTCCTTTTTTGTGTGTGTTTGTTGAAGCTTGCTCGAAATTTCTATGAAAATCTCTCTTTTGAAGAGAAATTTTCCCGTGATCATACCAAAAAAATTTATCATTCACTTTGAATTTTTACTATAAGGAACTGAAATTTTTGTGAATTTTTCTTCACTGAAAAATTTGTTTGAAATTTATTTGAAATTTCTCTGTAAAAATATTGAAAGACCCTAATTACTATAAAAATATTACATATCTTTTATCTTATAAATTTTAATATCAAGTACCTTAAATTAAAAATTCAAAAATTTTATTGAAAACAATTTCAAAAATAATTTATTAAACAATTTTATACATCAATTTATGTTTTACTATTTTTAATACATAAATTAATAAAACATAAACAAATCAAATAAAAACCCAATTAAATTTTGTATAGGAGACATACATGCCCACAACTTTTGGAGTCGCATTTCTAAATGGATTTGGTACCAAATCCTGCATTTTGATTCCCATGCCCTCTGATCATAGGGAGGCCCACCTCAATTGAACATTCTACAAAACTAGAGGTGCGAAGCCAACAAAGCTATTCGAGCTGGATCTTACTAAAATATACCGTTAAAACATAGTTTAAGATTTATTAATTTTTTAAGTTTTGCTTAAATAAATTATTACTTTTCTTAATAAATATATATACACTATAAACAAAGAAGAGAAATTACTCATAAATCTCATATTAAAAAATGTTGTTCTATCTAGTTCCGAGTGTTTTTTTGTAAACCATTTAGTCCTTTTTATTTTGGTATGATATCTTTGTTTGGGGTGACTCTATTTACACACCTCAATTATTCTTAGTTCACACTATTATTCATAATTTTTTTATTACAATTTTATCCTTCAATTAAATATCCAAATTGCCCTTATCTCTATTCTATCTCCTTCATCCACAAACCCTAACCTAACTTATTGATAACCACTGCAGGCTGCCGCTACCGCAGCCCCTTGTCTCTGATCGCCATCGCCATCGCCATCAACCCTCACCATCACAACTACCACCAATCTTTTTCCCTAGGCCTATTGTGCCTTCTCCAGCTCCATCATCCACTCCTCCGCCGTTGTACGCCCTTATCTTACCATCGTAAACAACCCCGCTCCCCCTTTTTCCATCGTGAACAACTCTATCACCTACCTCAGCCATTGTGATCCATCTCCCTTACCACTTCATCGTGACTTAGCCTTTTTGCATCCTGGTTCCTCCACCACAGGGAGAGAGAGAAAGCCCTAGGGTTTCCAAATCTAGACAATGAAGAAGAAGATGAAGATAGAAGATGGGCCAGATAAGGGTGACAGAGAGGGAGGGGTGAAGGTCAACGGCTGATGGCTGGCGATGGGTAAGGGTTTGGATTTGGGTTAGGGTTAGAGTTAATTGGAGAAGAAGAGGGTAATTTGGTATTATTTAAAAATTAGTGGTGTGTATTGAGATAAAATTAAAAGTTTTAATTTGTGTATGGTGTGAACTGAGCAAGTGGTGTGTATTGAAAGGATTTGTGGTGTGCAAATAGAGGTATCCCTTTGTTTGTTATATTGTATTTTCCAATTATTGATTTGCCCATATTGTGATTTCATTTTTGATTTTGTCTTGCTATTGGGTAAGATATGTTGTAACATTCCTTTTTTTGTAGGTAGTGTTTAGTGGACTGTATGGGTAGATTTTAATGTTAACCAGTTGGTGTTTACTTTCTAACATTTTTTGTAGGTTGGGTGTAGTGTTGGTCAAAACAGAAAATTAACAACAAACAACAGATTTTCAATGTCCAACCCATGAATTATTAACTACAATTACCACATCACCAACATCAAGCGTCCCTCACCCACATTAACAAACAAACAATAGGCCCACCATAAAATAACAACAAAAACGTAAGCACACCCTCCCGTATGGTTTACTCAATATAAGACACCAACCTACATCACCACAAAACCACAACGTAGTACGAGCACGAATCATCCCAACGTACAAGCACGAATCATCCCAAGCAGTACGAGACGTTTGCTCTAAACTATGATAGTAATGCGACTCGTCTCTCGTAGCATGACTCATCTCGTACTTTGAATACAAACACAAAGAAAACTAATGTATGGAAATCATTAAACAATCACAGAGAGTAAAATACTTGAAGAAATGAAAGAAACAATTATTAAAAATTTCTAAATCATCCATACATTGATTCAAACCAATTCACAATTAAAGCTCATGAAAAATCCTATTACATGGCTAGGGTTTTATCAAAACCCTAGAAAAAAAGACTAACCACTCATGAAGGAGTAGGAAGAGGAAGAAGATGAGGAGGAAACCCCCCTGAAAGTGTCCTTCAAGCTTTAGGAGAAAATCACCTCTTTAGAACCCTAGCCTCCCTTTCCTTTGTATTAATTTCGAACCCTAAGTTAGCCTCATTTTCTTCCTTTTATTCTCAACAAAATAGACTAAAAATTTCACGCACGCCTCCCTATGTGGGCCGTTCGAGCGCCCATGTGGGCCGTTCGAGCGGTGGTGGGCCGCACGTACGGTGGTCTGGCTGGCTCGAATTTTTCGCTTCTCGCTCAGAGAATCTATTTTCGCGCTCTTTTTAATTGAATCTGCATGTTACCTGCCAAATCTGTACATATGCACAAAACACATCATCTCTACTAAATAAACAATATTGAAAGACTAAAAATGTAACTTCAGTGGCCTCAATGTGGTACTTTTTGGCCTACATCAAATGTCATGAACCTCTGCCTCTCCCACCAAAACAAATTTATTAGGTATGATCATCTTCTTCCCCTCCAACCAAAAACAAATTTATTAGACAAAAATTCTACAAATATACAAATATATAACATAGTGTACATTTTTTTTTATATTCTCTTTTATGTGGAGTGAGATTCTTTGTTTCCATTTTTTTTTTTCCACTCTGTCTTAAAACATTTAAATCTATGTTATTCTATCTTGAAATTATTACATCATGAGATTTTTAGTAATTCAATAATTATAAGAATTTTGAGATATAGAGAGAAAAAAGATAAAGAGGAAGAAAAAAAAAATGATTTTTATTGATAAATCCATCTTAGAGTTGTTATAACCCATTAAGTCCACAAAGGAATATTATAACCTGATTAGTCTCATATACTTTTCTTTTTATTCCATAAAGTCCATTTTTCTAATTTTATATTTTTACCCGGACTATTATGCCCTTATCTATATATATAAATATATTGTGTTAATACATAACACGTTCCCTGTGATTTCGTAGATTCAGTTTTGGCAATTTCTATGTTTACGTTTTTCATCATCATTCTAATTCAAATGGATACGTTTCTATCTTGTATGCTCGTTCTGAAGCTTTGATGTGCTAGGGTTTCATTGTTGTTGTTGTAGTTAGATAGTTCCTTGTCTCATTATGTGAATGGGCACAATATTTTTGGTTGTAGTTCTACCTCATTTAAACCAATCTTAGCCAAA